GAGAAAGGCGGGTCATTTAGCACAGTGCGCATTCCTATTTTACAGATGAGGAAAAGGTGCAAAGGGGGATGGGCAGGACTCAGAATGTAAGTAATTTGCCCAAGGCTGTACAGATAACAGCAGAAGTGGGGTCTGGGTCTGTTTCTTTGGCCAGCCCCATTTCATCTCTTATTTCTGAAGCTGGGTTTTATTTTGGCATACTTTCTGAGAACATTCAGGGTTTCTTTGGATTTTTTTCTAAGGACTCCATGGGTTGATGGCTAGATGTTTATCTCACATCTCCCTTTTCTTTCCCACATTTGTTGAGCATCTATGTGCCATCATGCTGCTCTAGACTGAATAAAAATAAATAAGTAAAATAAAAATAAAAGAGGAGCCTGACCTTACATTTTATTTATTTGTTTGTTTTTAAGATAAACTTGTTTTATTTATTTTATTTTTGGCTGCGTTGGGTCTTCGTTGCTGTGCGCGGGCTTTCTCTAGTTGCAGCGAGCGGGGGCTACTCTTCGTTGCGGTGCGCAGGCTTCTCACTGCGGTGGCTTCTCTTGTTGCAGAGCACGGGCTCTAGGCGTGCAGGCTTCAGTAGTTGTGGCACGTGGGCTCAGTAGTTGTGGCTCGCGGACTCTAGAGCGCAGGCTCAGTAGTTGTGGCGCATGGGCTTAGTTGCTCTGCGGCATGTGGGATCTTCCTGGACCAGGGCCCAAACCCGTGTCCCCTGCATTGGCAGGCGGATTCTTAACCACTGCGTCACTAGGGAAGCCCTGATGTTACATTTTAATGCCATGTGTCCTTGGCATTACCTGTAGTCCTGACTAGGTTTTCTCTTTGTCCCTCTCCTGCCTTCCTTGGTATACTGGGTCCCACAGCTTCTTCCCTACATTATTCCTTGGTCAAGCCCACATTAATAAAGAACTTCCCTTTATGGTTTACTGATAGTGAAAAGCAGCTTTTTCAGGCGCTTCTTATTCCCCTTTTCCTCCCTGCCTCTACCTCTTTAAGATTCTGTAGAGAAACACAAGGTAACCTGACTATATTGACCATTCACTCACTTTGCCTGGGGCAGTCTGGGTTTACTGATGTTTTCCTGGTGTAAGTTACTATTAACTCCTCATTTTATTCTCAGATGTGCTGACGTTTGGAGAGTAGGTGATATAGGATTCTGTATGATTGTTTTTGTGTCTGTGGAGACACAGATGTCTGAAGTAAATTCTCTGTCTTTTAGAAGAACCTTTAAACTCCAGAGTTTTCTAGGGTTTTGGTTTTAGGATCTAAGGGAAAGAAACAGACGAAGGTAACTGAGAAGAGGGTGGGATGTGAGACTTAAAGAGAGTTCCTGCCCGTGAGATTGTAGGATGTGCTGCTGGGGCTCATCCACCTTTTCTCTCCAGACCCCTTGTTCTTTCTATTCCTGGAACTGCAATGAAGATTGAGGACTGGAGGTTAGACTTCTGGCTATCAGGGAGGCTGGCAGGCAATATTGAAGGGGAAGGTAGTTTGAGAAGGTGGTGGAGCCCTGTGGTGACCCATTTGTGTGTTTGCGATGAGAGCAGGTCATGGATTATCTGTGCTTATCTTTGGAGGAGCAGGGAAACCATAGACTCTGACCCAGATATTAGGGAATATAGAAGTGGTATGTCCTGTTTCCAAGATTGAAGATAGTGGGTATTCCTACAGAAGAGTTTTTCTGTGTGTTGGCTGGGCCTCCAGTTTCTGGACTTAGTTGATTTTGCTCTCTCTGTTACAGAAGGTCCCTGTTGTGAAAGAGGAAGATGAACCAGAGGAAGAAGATGAAGAAGAAATGGGTCATGCGGAAACCTATGCAGAGTATATGCCAATAAAATGTATGTCTTTGGGATTTGTCAAAATAATGAGACTTCTGGGTTCCTTTTGAACTTAAAAAACTTTGCCACACACATTATTATGTGTTGAGATCTATCCATGTTGGGTACCTCAGGATTTGATAAGTGTGAGCTTTGTAGTAGGTTTTTTTTTTTTTTTTACGGTACGTGGGCCCCTCACTGCTGTGGCCTCTCCCGTTGCGGAGCACAGGCTCCGGACGCGCAGGCTCAGCGGCCATGGCTCACGGGCCCAGCCGCTCCGCGGCATGTGGGATCTTCTCGGACCAGGGCACGAACCCGTGCCCTGGCGGACTCTCAACCACTGCGCCACCAGGGAAGCCCTGTAGTATGTTTTAAACTATAATATGTTTTAAAATAGCTACATGAAAATTCTGTGAGTTTTTAAATTTTCCTATAAAAATGTAGGGCTTTGCTTTGGAATGAAGTCTTTTAAAACCAGGAGTGAAAAGGCTTTTTCCTTTCAAGTTAATTTTGCTCATATCAGCAGTGATTATAAAATCATAGTAAATTACAGAAATGTAAACACATATCTTAGCTTTATAGTTTATACAGCTTATCTAAAACAAATTATAAAAACATGGGAATCTTAAAAATAAAATCTGCTATTCAAATTCAGTGGTTTAAATTAACACCATTGCTTCCTTTTTTCCCGTAATGACCATGATTCATTTTTTTAGTGGCCACTGTATTAAGTTGAAAATTAGTAACTTTTAGTTTTTGTGTAAAATTTTTCACTTTTTCATTTTATGGGGGTAATAAGATGGAAAAACATCTATGGCTAGAATTTTTCTCTCCTATACTCTGGCTTAAGTGGTCACCAATAAGACCACTTAAACTAAAAATCTCTGTTTACCAACTGTGTATGGATTCCAAGGTCCCATACTTTCCTGGTTATTTAAAATGATGTCTTTAATCTAGGATTATGTTCTGTTACTACTGGAGAACCTGGTGGTATGAACTGCGATGATATTTTTCTAGATCTTTTTAATCAGCAAGTCTCTATTTAAACCATAGGTAGTTGGTAAATAGGTCATTTTAGTCAAATTTAAACAGTACTTTACCATCAGTCAGTGACTTTATATAGGATCCCAGGGTGTATAGTTACTTCTTATTATATTTTCTCTGTCTGGAGAAATATTACAATATCTTATAATACTGGGAAGTGTTATTACTTAGAATAATTAAAATGAAATATTTTTAAATTTTTATTTAGTAAAAATTGGCCTGCGTCATCCAGATGCTGTAGTTGAAACTAGTTCTTTATCCAGTGTTACTCCTCCTGATGTTTGGTACAAAACATCTATTTCTGAAGAAACCATTGATAATGGCTGGTTATCAGCATTACAGCTTGAGGCAATTACATATGCAGCCCAGGTAAGCTGTATAATTTATAACTACATACAGTTTTTATCTTTAATTTTAGTTCACAATGTATAGTTGTTTTAATTCAAAGTTAAGTTTTCCTTGCATGAAAATCTTGTGAATGTGATTTTTATAGAAGTTTTATGTGTTAGAAAGTTAAAGGGGTAGTGTGGATATGGGGAATGTGTTTCTAGTGCAAATGATAAATTGTCATAACCTTTTTGGAATTCACTGGGAACATGTATTAAAATTAAAAATACCTATATCCTTTTACCTAACAATTCCATGGGAGTCTGTTTCATAGAACTATTAGATAAGAACATATATATATATAAGGCTATTTGTTGCAGCCTTTTTTCCCCCCAGTGGCTAAAAGCTATAAAAGATGTAAAAGCTCACACCCTTGGGGAGTGATTGAATAACCTTTGGTATTACCATATGGGTGTTGTACCAGCTTTTATATTATGTCAATTGTCTTGAAAGGATTTCTGAAATACTCCATTTTTGTAAAATAAATAGGAAACCATCCCCCATATTTATGTTTTATAAAAAAGTTTGTATTTGGTTGTACAGTCCTTGAAAAATTATGGAAGAATACTCACCAATTTGTTAACTTTAATTACCTGCTACATACGAGGGTAGCAAGAAAAAAATACACAGACCTCGGAGATAGGGCAGGTTTGGTTCCAGACTACCACAGTAAAGCAAATGTTACAATAAAATGAGTCGCATGAAGTTTTTGGTTTCCCAGTGCATGCAAAACTTAGTGTTTACCCTATAATGTAGTCTGTTAAGTGTGCAATAGCATTATGTCCAGAAAAACAATGTACATACCTTAATTGAAAAATACTTTAATGCTAAAAAATGCTGACCATCATCTGAGGCAAGATGTGGGGAGGTCTCGCCTTGGTGTTGATGGCTGCTAAATGATCAGAGTGGTGGTTACTGAAGGCTGGAGGGGCTGTGGCAGTTTCTTAAAATAAGACAGCAGTGAAGTTTGCTGCATTGATTCACTCTTCCTTGCACTAATGATTTCACTGTAGCATGCAGTGCTGTTTGATGGCATTTTACCCACAGAACTTCTTTCAGAATTGGAGTCAGTCCTCTCAAACTCTGCCACTGCTTTATCAACTAAGTTTATGTAATCTAAATCCTTTGTTGTCATTTCAACAATCTTCACAGCATCTTCATTAGGAGTAGATTCCATCTCAAGAATCTACTTCCTCCACTGAAGTCTTGAACCCCTCCAAGTCATCCATGAGGGTTAACTCCTGTTAATGTTGATATTTTGACCTCTTCCCATGAATCATGAATGTTCTTAGTGGCATCTAGAAGGGTGATTCTTTTTCTGGAAGGTTTTCAGTTGATTTTGTCCAGATGCATCAGAGAAATCAACTATCTATGGCAGTTACAGCCTTACAAAATGTGTTTCTTAAAGAGTAAGATTTGAAAGCCGAAATTACTCTTAGCTCTATGGGCTGCAGAAAGGCTGTTTTACAAAGCAGGCATGAAAGTGACATTGATCTCGTTGTACATCTCCATTAGAGCTCTTGGGTGCATTGTCAATGAGCAGTATTACTTTGAAAGGAATCTTTCATTCTGAGCAGTAGGTCTCAACAGTGGGTTTCAAATATTCAGTAAATCATGTTGTAAACAGATGTGCTGCCTTGTTCCATTTGTAGAGCACAGGCAGCGTAGATTGAGCATAATTCTTAAGGGCCCTAGGATTTTTGGAATGGGAAATGAGCATTGGCTTCAACTTCAGGCCACCAGCTGCATTAACCCCTCATAAGTCAGCCTGTCCTCTGAAGCTTTAAAGCCAGACATTGACTTCTTCTCTCTAGTTATGAAAGTCCTAGATAGCATCTCCTTCCAGAAGAAGGCTGTTTCATCTACATTGAAAATCTGTTGTTTAATGTAGCCACATTTATCGATCATCTTAGCTAGATCTTCTGGATAACTTGGTGAAGCTTCTGCATCAGCACTTGCTGTTTCACCTTGCAATTATGTTACAGAGATGACTCCTTAAACCTCATGAACCAGCCTCTGTGACCTGCAGAATTTCTGCAGCTTCCTCACCTCTCTCAGCCTTCGTAGAATTAAAGAGTTAGGGCCTTGCTCTGGATTAGGCTTTGGCTTAAGGGAATATTATGGCTTGTTTGATCTTCTTTCGAGACCACTAAAAGTTTCTTCATGTCAGCAATAAGGCTGTTTTGCTTTCTTATTGTTTGTTCACTGAAGTAGCACTTCTAATTTCCTTTAAGAACTTTTTTTTTTCATTCACAGTTTGGCTGTTTGGAGCAAGAGGCCTGGTATTCAGCCTGTCTAGGCTTTCAACATGTCTTCCTTATGTTGTAATCATTTCTAGCTGTTGATTCAAAGTGAGAGACATGCAGCTCTTCCTTTCACTTGAATGCTTAAAGAAGCCATTGTAGAGTTATTAATTGGTCTAATTTCAATACTGTTGTGTCTCAGGGAACTGGGAGGCTGAAGGAGAGAGAGAGATGGGGGAAATGGCCAGTCGGTGGAGCAGTCACAATACACACAACACTTATTAATTAGGTTCACCATCTTATATGGGCGGGGTTTATGGCAACCCAAAACAATTAAAATAGTAACATCGAAGATCACTGACCACAGATCACAATAACAATATAATAATAATGAAAAAGTTTGAAATAGTATGAGAATTACCAAAAAGTGACTCAGAGACACGAAAGAGCCACTGCTGTTGGAAAAATGGCACCAATAAAATTCCCTGATGCAGGGTTGCCACAAACCTTCAATATGTAAAAAATGCAGTATCCCCTGAAGTGCAGTAACAGTGAAGCACAATAAAATTAGGTATGCCTGTATAGTTACGTAAAGAAAGTATCCACACTAAGCCAACTATATGCCATTTCTATAAAAACAGAGAATGTTAATATATGACTAAAACAAGGTATGAAAGACTGATTACCAAAATATCTAAAGGAATAGATAATTACCAGCGTTTTCTTTTTCAGCAACATGAAACATTCCTACCAAATGGAGATCGTGCTGGATTCTTGATAGGTGATGGTGCTGGTGTAGGAAAAGGAAGGACAATAGCAGGAATCATCTATGAAAATTATTTGTTGAGTAGAAAAAGGGCTTTGTGGTAAGTGCTAAAGACTGGCTGTGGAAGCTTTTGTTTGTGAATAATCCAGCACATGGGGATGGGTCTTTGTGAGTAGGTATATTTTTTTGAAGTGTCAAGGCCTGGGTTTATTTATTCCTGAATATTGCTAGAATGATGGGATTTGTATTGAATTTGTGTGTTTTTCTTGTCCCTTTTTTTTGTGGCAGGTTCAGTGTTTCAAATGATTTAAAGTATGATGCCGAAAGAGATTTGAGGGATATTGGAGCAAAAAACATTTTGGTACATTCATTAAATAAGGTATGAAAGTTTTCTATTCAGTTGGTCATTCAATAAATATTGACTTATCTGTGAGATGGGAATAATAATAGTTTCTACTTCATAGGGTTGTTAAGAGGATTAAATGAGTTATTTCACAGAAAGCATAGTGAGTGCTAGCCACTGTTGTTCGTTTTCGGATTACTAAGTGTTAAATAATATGCTAGGTAGGGTTATGTAGTGGCAAACAAAATAGGCATTGTCTGTTTTTATGGAGTTTATTCTCTTACTCTTCAGGGTTTTTCGTTTGTTTTTGTCTGTTTCTGAAGTTACTGTATATGGGTGAAACTCATATACCTATGAGTATAAGGGTGCAGTGTGATAAAGCTATATGGACAGGTAGTGTGCCCATCACATCATATAGAGAGAATTGTGATTTGGAGACTGGTTTAGATATTTGTACATTTAGTGGACTTGTATACCCGTACCTGTGTTCATGTTAAAACAGTTCTGTCAAATGGAAGAAAATGTGTTTCATTATCTAGAAAGCACAGTTCAATGTTCATTTAGCAAATCTTTATTGGCCTCCTACTATGCACCAATTCCTGGAGTCACATGGGTAGAATAGACAGACCTAGTTCCTGCAGGTGCTTCCTTGCTAGCCCTTTGAAAATAAGTAAATGTAAATCTACTTTCCATGTGAGTCCTAAGTTGCTTCAGTGTTGAGTCCTAAGTTGCTTTGGTGTTGTTGCCCTGCCCATCAGTGGCTTTTTTTGGGTGAGGGTTACTGTGTGGTTTGTTGGGTTAAGTACTGTGTCTTGAATGACTACTAGCAGTTCAAAACTAAAACATGTAAGGGGCATCTAGAAATATTTTTGATTTCTAAATCAGCATAATTGAGGAAGACCACAGTAACTATTAATCATAATTCTTATATATCCCTCAGATCTTAATTACAGTGCTTTGCATGTAGTAAATGCACAATAAATATTTGTAGAATGAATATTGTGACCTTTTCTTGGGGAGTTTGGTTTGTAATCTTTTTTTTTTGCGGTACACGGGCCTCTCACTGTTGTGGCTTCTCCCGTTGCGGAGCACAGGCTCCGGACGCGCAGGCTCAGCGGCCATGGCTCACGGGCCCAGCCACTCCGCGGCATGTGGGATCCTCCCGGACCGGGGCACGAGCCCGTATCCCCTGCATTGACAGGCGGACTCTCAACCACTGTGCCACCAGGGAAGCCCTGTAATCTTTTTTTGATTGATAGACTTTTTTGAGACTTTGATGAAAACTGGATCCTTGTACATTAAAGTTATACACACACGCACAGGCTCATGTGTGTGTGTATGTATGTGTACACATGTGTATGAGAAATTTTGTGTATGATCTTAAGAGGTCCTTTGACTTTCCTGAAGCCCATCATGGTACAACCAGTTTCCTGCTGTAGAAATCTGGGTGGGATAAATATTTTAGAGACAAAAGTGTATTTATTAAGTTCTTTCTTTTCTTTTTTAGTTTAAATATGGAAAAATTTCTTCCAAACATAATGGGAGTGTGAAGAAGGGTGTGATTTTTGCTACCTATTCTTCCCTCATTGGTGAAAGTCAGTCTGGTGGTAAATACAAAACGAGGTTAAAACAACTCCTACATTGGTGTGGTGATGACTTCGATGGAGTGGTATCCTTTGCAACAAGTTTTATAATTTTTAATGACACAAAATATAACACACAGGAATTCTGAGGTTAAATAAAAAGACTGCTGGGACGAGAGCTTTAATGATTACACAGAGTCCAAGGGAGTCAGAAAGTTGATTCTGTTTTGTAGCTGTCATATACGAGGCCAGTATTTAAGTTCCTGCTTTAGGAAAATGTTAATAGGTATGAGACATGCTGAATACTATATTCGCTTCTTAACTTAATGATTTCCAAACTTATTTGCTCATAGCATACCTTTTACTATACTGCATGAGGATCACCAGTTTTTGAAGTACTGATTAAGTTGGTTATCAGTTGTGCTTCTATTTAACAAAATTTGCTCAAATTATCTGTGTGGTGGACATTTTTAGCCATAGTGGATCCTTTCGTTCATTCTAATTAAGAATTAAATATCCAGTTAAGGAGTGACAGTGCCGCAAGGTGGCAGCCACCATGGGCTCGGACAGTTTATGAAAACTGAATATACAGCCTTAAGATAGAATGTGGACCTAAATACCCAGAAGCAACCCCCTTTGTAAGATTTGTAAGAAAAATTAATATGAATGGAGTTAATAGTTCTAATGGAGTGGTGGACCCAAGAGCCATATCAATGCTAGCAAAATGGGAGAATTCATATAGCTTCAGAGTTGTCCTGCAAGAGCTTCGGTGCCTAATGATGTCCAAACAAAATATGAAACTCCCTTAGCCGCCTGAAGGACAGTGTTACAGTAGTTAATCAAAAAGAAAAACCACAGGCCCTCCGTTACCCCCTCCATTCGAATCAAGCAGTCTTCATTTTCTGCAGTAGTACATTTTCTAGATGCCAAAAATAAATTAAATATCCAGTTAAGGTTAATGCCAAATTCAGTGAATGCCTCTGTGGCTGGGGGAAGGGGGCTATGGAGGTCAAGGAGAGGCACTTAGAGGGCTTCATTGATATTTGTGATCTTACAGAAAAAGAAAACCATCTGAAGCAAATATGGCAAAATGTTAAGGTTTGACAAAACCAGATGATAGGTATGTGGGTATTAGTTTAAAAAAAAAAAAAAAGTTAATGCTCAGGGGCTTGTTATCAACAGCATCCCTCCCCCTAATAATCTTGATTCTTTTTTTTACTCCAGCTACCATCCCAGAAATCTTGGATGTTTCCCAAGTCCTAAGTGAAATAAAAGTTAACTCTTCCTGAAAGATTGGAGACACTTGCTACTAATGTGACATGTTCCTTAATTTACTCCTTACAGATAGTGTTTGATGAATGTCATAAAGCAAAAAACTTATGTCCTGTTGGTTCTTCAAAGCCAACCAAGACAGGCTTAGCAGTTTTAGAACTTCAGAACAAATTGCCAAAAGCCAGAGTTGTTTATGCTAGTGCCACTGGTGAGTAGTTATATATTTAAAAGAGAGGAGATATATATGTTATTTTTTCAGCTATAATATATTTTATTTGGGGGTTTTTCAGGTGCTTCTGAACCACGAAACATGGCCTATATGAACCGTCTTGGAATATGGGGTGAGGGAACTCCATTTAGAGAATTCAGTGATTTTATTCAGGCAGTAGAACGGAGGTAATGCAATTTACAGTATACACTATTTGTTCTCAGTAGCAATCTAAAAGAGGTGTTATTGCTAAAATCTCTTCCATGTATGTTAAAGCTCTACTATATTTAATGTTAGTTACTGTGTGTTTTAATTTTATTCAGAGGTGTTGGTGCCATGGAAATAGTTGCTATGGATATGAAGCTTAGAGGAATGTACATTGCTCGACAGCTGAGCTTTACTGGAGTGACCTTCAAAATTGAGGAAGTTCTTCTTTCTCAGAGCTATGTTAAAATGTATAACAAAGCAGTCAAACTGGTGAGCATATTTTTATTAACTCTTAGTACTTTAAATGTACCTGATAATGTATCTGTTAGCCAGTTTTGTCCAGTCAGGAGTATATTTTGTCCAGTATACGCCTGTCAGCTCACAGGAGTATATTTCTGCTATAAAACAACAGATAAATCACTGGTTCCTTATTTTCCCAATTTTCCAAGTTTTCTGTTTGTTAAAGTAATTTATAAAAAATAGCCATTTATTTTGGTTGTATAGTTTTAAAAATCACAATGTGACTGTTTCCTAAAATGACTGCATTAGTTAATAAGAATTTTGGGACAGCTCTATGTGAGCGTCCTAAAAAACATTTGTTTAGAGATTCCCAAGTTACTGAAAATGCCTCGTTGAGTTAATGTTAAATGGTGTCTTGCACTTTATTTTGATTGAATTAGTAATTTTAAAATCACACTCAAAAGACTGAAATATCTAAAATGTTGATTGTGCACCTTCAGTGGGTCATTGCCAGAGAGCGATTTCAGCAAGCTGCAGATCTGATTGATGCTGAGCAACGAATGAAAAAATCCATGTGGGGTCAGTTCTGGTCTGCTCACCAGAGATTTTTCAAATACTTGTGCATAGCATCCAAAGTTAAGAGGGTTGTTCAACTAGCTCGAGAAGAAATCAAGAATGGAAAAGTAAGTTGGAGAATGCATTAACAGGTTCATCTTTGGTTATGTGTTTTAGTCTTTTGGGTGTTGAGGCTTTCTACTTAAAAAAGCCTTTTCTTTCTAAAGGGTACTTGTAAAAAGTATTAACATAGTAAGACTTTTAAAAATGCATTTTTAAGATAATAAAAGCAATACGTGTTTATAAAGAATTTGGATAGCTCAGAAAAGTGTAAACAAACATCACTATAATTTGGCTAACCATAGACCTAACAACTGATAACACATGGATATATATATTACATTAAGGATTTTTCCTTTTTGATAATTACATATTTAGTTAAAGCACAAAGAACTGGGGCAGGGGCTTCAGTAGTGTCCACTGTTGTAATACTGTTTCCTAGCTAAGTGTATTACATGTAGCATGTCTCATATATATGTAGAATAAATAAGTTGGTACACACGTACAGTAATGGGTAATTCTTGTTTGAAATCTTTTTTAAACTAAATATTTAAAATATGTCTTAAGAAACCATATAGATATTTTTATTTATAATTAATAATATTCTTTGTTGCCTTCAGTGTGTTGTAATTGGTCTGCAGTCTACGGGAGAAGCTAGAACATTAGAAGCCTTGGAAGAGGGTGGAGGAGAATTGAATGACTTCGTTTCAACTGCCAAGTAACGTTTATGGGTTTGAGTTTTTACTTAGATCAGTTTAAATATTGGCATTTCCCGGAGGCAAAATTTTTGCGTTTTAAAGTCTTTCTGATTTTAGTTTTCATGGTCCTGTGTGTGCATAACAACATGTCTATTGGAAAACAATAACATAGAAATGCTGAAATGTTAAGTATTTTGACAGTATCATGTCCAGTATTTGGACTAACTGAAGGGCTTGATTTTTGTTTGTTTTGTACATCTTGGAAATCTGACAGCTTGGTTTAAGATACTCAGTTTTGCTTTGGCTTTGTGTATTGGAAACTGCCATTATCCAGAGGAGCAATATAGTTTAGTTCGCTCCAGTTTAGTATGCTCTAATATAAACATTGCAAATAATCCTGAGATAGTCCAAAGAGATTTTAAAAATGTTTTTAGACACTGTTTTTCAGTTTGTTTGCCTAACAGACAGTTCTAACTCTGGTAGCAAAATTAACAAAATAACTTTTGCTGCCATGCTATCTTTTGCCTTAGGGGACACATTCAAGTGGCTCATTTTAAGATAGATATAACTTAAAACTACTTTTAAAAGCAAAACATGCACCTGCTAATCTGTATCTTTCCTGTGCTTGCCTGCCTAGTATTGCCTCTGAAATGATAGGCACTAGTCACAGGGAGCTATTAAGCAGTTGAAGTGGCTAGTCCAAATTGAGATGACCTTTAAGTATGAAATAGACACCAGATTTCAAAGACTTAAAGAAATGTAATGTAAAACATTTCATTGATTACATTTTAAAGTGATATGTTAAGTTAAATAAAATATTATTAAAGTTAGTTTCACAAGTTTTCTTTTACTTTTTAATGTAGCTACTTAGAAAGTGTAAAAATTGTGCTTGGCTTGCACTATATTTCATTTGGACAGTCTTGGCCTAGAATATTAAAATTCATTTGAGCTGGATTATCAGTATTTTGTAAGACTGAATAAAATGTACTTTTCATTTTTTACTTTTTAAAAATTTATTTTATTTCATTTTTATTTATTTTTAAGATTTTTTTCTCGTCTGTGTGTGTCTTCATTGCTGCACGGGGGCCACTCCTCGCTGCAGCGCACGGGCCTCACATTTTATAGCAGCCTCTCCCGCTGCAGAGCACAGGCTCCAGGCACGTGGGCTTCGGTAGTTGTGGCATGTGGGCTCAGTAGTTGTGGCTGGCTTGAGGGCTTTAGAGCACAGGCTCAGCAGTTGTGGTGCATGGGCTCCATTGCTCCGCAGTATGTGGGATCCTCCCGGACCAGGGCTCGAACCTGTGTCCCCTGCATTGGCAGGCGGATTCCCAACCACTGTGCCACCAGGGAAGCCCCAAACGTATTTTTTAGTAAGACATAGATTTTATTATTTGTAACTCTTGCATGTACCTGAAAATGGAAAATATATGTGAAATAAATTGGTTAAAGGATTGTTAAAGTCCTTTACATTCAGAATCCAACTCTTTTGAATCACTTTTTGACTCGAGTCACTGATGTGCAATTTTTCTTCATGGAGTCTTCCTCTGTGCAGCAGTTCTGAAAAAGAATCAGGAACCATTGGTGCTGAGTTCCTAAGCCAGCTTTACAATTATGTGGAGCTAACCTACTTTTGATATCCAATTTGGAAATGCTGCTAATAAAGTATACTTATTTTAAACAAATACATTCAGTAAGACTTTATATATAATAAACTATTTTGCATACTGAGCCACTAACTGTCACTTTTTCTCTCTTCGAACAGAGGAGTGTTGCAGTCACTCATTGAAAAACACTTCCCTGCTCCAGACAGGAAAAAACTTTATAGTTTGCTAGGAATCGATTTGACAGCTCCAAGTAACAACAGCTCACCAAGAGATAGTCCTTGTAAGGAAAATAAAATAAAGAAGCGGAAAGGTGGGCACTTTTCTTTAAATGGTGCTAGAAGTAGTATAAATTTGAGCATCTTGATGCAAAGCTGTAATTTGGGAATGTACTGCCTTCCTTGAATTGGCTCATGTAGTTTTTTTTTTTTTTTTTTTTAAGGAAGTGTCTTTCTTCCTCCCTCCCTCCCTCCCTC